CATGCAGCTAAAGGGAAGCTTAGACTCTGTTCCCAAATTTATTTTTTGCTCTTTGAATGAGGAAGGACAGGAAGAAAGTAAGTGAAGCCAAGAAAGTCTGAAGACTCAGGCTCCTTTGCCTTTTCCTGTGGGATGCTCCAGTGGGCTGTTTCCCAGTGCCTTTCTCCTCACAGGGAAGAGGCTTCCTGTTGTTTGGAGCCTTTGGTCATGCTTTGCTACTGTGTGTGTTCCTTGGCAGGGAGACCCTCAGAGAGGAGGAGCTGGAGAAACAGCAGCGATCTCATCCAGCCAACTTTGGCCCCCGGAAGTACTGCTTGCGGGAGTGCATGTGTGAAGTGGAAGGTCAGGTGCCCTGCCCTGCCCTGGTGCCTTTACCCAAGGAGATGACAGGGAAGTACAAAGCTGCTCTGAAAGCCAGCACTTAGGTCTGAGCAACATCATTTGGGATGGACTGATGGAACTCTCTACAATGAAAAGGCCTGCTTGCATGCCCGTTTAAAGGACATGGGGAGGAGGACAGGGTTGCCAGCTGCTGAACACATGTCAATAAAAGATTTAGTCTTCCTGTACATGTTAAGTCTGGAAGCTGTTAAGGACTAATCTGTTGGCTGTAGCAGAGATTTTTCTGCCCTTGAGAGTGAAGATGCCACCTAGTGACTTGGAGTCAAGTTGATTTTGATTCTCAACCCTTGCTTACTAGGTTGAAAAAGAATATGTGTGACCTTTTTTGCCTTGTTTTGTTTAAGACAGCATTTCTCTGTGTAACAGCTCTGTAGATCAGGGTGGCCTCAGGGAGGCAGTGAAGCTGGCATGCTTAGATTTGCAGAATAGTGCCTTTCCATCCTCTGCTCTGGCTCTGGGTTGTGATTCTGCAGCAGACCTGTGTTCAGATGGCCTGAAGGAGCTGCAGTGGAATGGACGCTTGTGGCTCTAATGTATAATGGACAGATGTGGTTGACCTTAGTCCTGACTATGGTGCCTGGCAAAGCTACAGGAACAATACATGGGTAGCAAATAATTTCTATAGAGCCACTGTTACTGATGGCAGTAGATGCAGGTGTGGTGTGAGGAAACCAATGGCACTGGGAGAAATCATCTCTTTAAATCTGTTTTTTCCTATTTAGGAATGACAGGTTTTATACATATGAAACTAATTGACCACACAAGGACTTGAGTTGACATGATGGTCCTCTGAAGTGATGATTTTCATATTGAGGTATTACTGGCTGTAAGGATCTGATTCGGGCTCCTGAACCCTCAAATTGTAAAGACCAGAAGATGTAAGAGCACTTCATTCAACTACTGAATCTGAGAACACATTTTTTTTTTTTTTTTTACTCCATAACAAATACCTAGTATGTAGGTCTGACACCTGACTGAACACTTGTATGTAAGGTCCACCAAGCTCTCCAAGTCTATGTAGGGTCCTTACCTCCATGCTGGATGGCCATAGAGAGTTCAGTCCGAGTATTTCTACCAAAGGTCTTTCCAACTGATGGAGGTCACTTTGGGTCAAGGTTAAGGTGTTGATGGAGGGCAGAGAATGGGCTCGGGCCACACATTACTGTTTTGAGGAAAAAATGATGAGTGGTACACATGCTAGTCTTTAATTTACTTTAATAGTATAAACCTCATGTAGGTAGTATTAAGCCACAACAACAAAGCCACATTGAACAGCATTTAGTAAAAGGCGCTCATAACCATGCACAGCAACTCTCTACATAGACACAACAATGCAGATTCTCCTTCAGGAGTGAAGACATTGATTAGATAGAAAATTCAATTTAAAAAGAACATGCGGATTTTAAATGCCATCACATAGCTCATTTACACAGGGAGAAAAGCTACAAAATGGTAGCTCTCCACAGGTTTTAAACCTGGAATCAAAAGGTAATGGCATCCATGGTGTTTTCTATAGTGTGAAGGGCAGAGTTATACAAACGGGTCCCAAGAAAATTCCACACTGGGCTTTCCTTTAGTAGATGTCCTTTAAAAGGGGGGGAGGGGCAGATAATGTGCTGTTATCTTAACAGAGAAATCCAAACTACAGGTACAAACTAGTTGGTACTATGAAAAATGTGCAGCTTCTCAGTTATAAAACTAGTTGAACACTGATTTACAAGTATTTGGGGAAACAGACTAGAAAAATATTCCAGCACTTGAGTTGTGTGTGCATTGGCATCTGTGAATGAGCAGGCTGTTGGGATGACAACTGATGATGGTACTTTCCCGAAGAAAGGCCATTTTTAATGTGCAGTCTATACCAAATGTTACCCAAACACAAAAACTTATTAGTGACATAACGTTGAGCATTTTCCCTACATTCCATGCAGAAATACCAAAATTATTGAAAATTAACTGAAAGTGCGTATTACTGAGCATTTGAAATGTCTGATGTTCTTCTCCTTCCTAAGCCACTTTTAAACTCACTCTTAGGTTGCTGCTAAAGACAATAGCCCCCAAAGAAAATGGAAGGATTCATTTAGAGACTGCCAAGCTTCCCTGTGTTATACTTGGAAAGCCACTTTGAATAGTGTGATTGTCACAACAGGCAATGACACAGGCAAGATTGAATAACCACGAGGGGTGAGGACAGGGACAAAAGTGGGAAGCTAAAGCCAAATGACCCACGTCTCACCAAAGGCACTGAGGACTATAGTCTTAACAATTATTTCTTAAAACACAAAGAGCAACAACCTTGTGGGTCAGGCAAGTTTTTGCACCTGGTTTCCTCCAAGCCAGGTGCTTGTTCACCATGGCCACTAGGAGCTCTGCCAGGCTGGGCCCTGGCTCCCAAGTCCTGTCCCAGCCTAAACTCCCAATCATAGGGAACAAAATTTCATCAGAATATCCTGGTGGATGAGGAAAATGTTAGCCTTAGCTTTCTTACTATTAACTACAGCTTTTATAGAATGTAGTTAGGTCACTTGCTTCTAGTTAAAGGGACATACTATTTGTAGTTTATATGCCACAAGTTAGCTGTTAGCTATTAGCATTGTTTTTAAAGAATGTTTGGCAGGCTGGTTATTTTTATGGCAGTACCCAAGAAAGCACAGGGTAAACAAACGAGACTGCTACAGCCCCTTGGATCCCAAGTGCCTGTTTCGGGTCACTAAATTCCTTCTAGTTAGGCTCAACTGGCTTGTGAAAAGCAGGTTTAAGCTAACATGTCTTCTACCACCTTCTGGGCCCTTCTAAACCTAGAAAACTGCCCTCCTCTCAGGCCCTTTCCAGGCAGCTCCCTGTCCCAGGAAAATGAAGTTGGTAAGAAATTCACCAGTGCGTTCCTTTCAAGTGAACCTTGCAATACCCACATTCATTCACATTAGCAACGCTAGCATCAACTCTTGATAACATAGAAGTTTGGATACATGGCTACGTGTCTGTATACATAATGTACACCTATATACACACATTATATACACTGTACAAAGATAATATGAACACATGTACATTCAATCAGTCATCTAGGCCTGTAATTCTGGACATACACAGTGCGGCTGAAGGGACAGGTTGTGCACAGAAAGTGCACACTGATGGGAGGCACTCAATGAGGAAGTCCAGAACCTTGTACAAAACATCTAGGCCAACCATCTCATTTTGGAGTTGGCTTTAGAAATTGACATCAGAGTTAAGACTTTTGCAGAGAGCCACATAATCTAGAGACAAAACAATAGGTGGGGTACCTGTTCTGCCAGTGTGGGATGTTCCCAGGGCCCTCCCACTGGAGAAAAGCAGCAGTCAGATGGTGCTTTTTATGGCCTGGATTAGAAGAGAGTTTCAGCAGCACCAACAGTCCCACTGTACACCCAGTCACTGGAAAGAACAACAGGCTTCCAGACCACTCTCCCCCCCCCCCACAAAACACACACACACAAACTCATATCCCAGAAGACACATCCTGCTGTCAGGGCTACCCTTCAAGAAACAAGTGTGTGTAGTACAGATGCTGCTGCTCCACTTAGGGGTCATACTGGCCACTTTAGTTGATGTAGTAACTACCTCAGAATACTGTCCACATCTAATACTGACACTGAAACTAGAGAACCACCCCAAGGGCATAAGAAACTCCACTTGAACTTTAGTACAGAAATCCAGACAGCACAATTCCAACTGCAGCCTCAGGAAGAGACTAGGTAGTAAATAAGCCCCTTCAATACACACTGCAAACTGGAAGGATGGTGACACACTGTATTGAACACCTTGACTAACTAGGGTGATTTTTCTTAGGGAATTTGGTCTTTGTCTACATCTCCTGGCCTATTTTATCTGAATTTTAACCTGGAACTCTCAACTTTATTTGAGATACTTCTGGAAAAGAGCCTAGTTAGCCAGGCTCCTACCTGAGTAACCAAGCCACTGTGTGTCTATCCACATACCCGAGAGAGGAGAGTGTCTAGACAAGCTATCTTGTTTCATTAGACTTGGGAGTATCACAGACTCCTTAATCAAGGGTGGAAAGCCCTGAAAACTGACTGGATTGGGCTCTCTCTTAAATGACTGGGGTTGAACTTCCTAGGTCCAACTGACAAAATGGAATGGAGCAGCACTTGATTTTGAAATGATTACAGTTAATGAGAACATTGTGTGGATACAAGTATTAAAGGCGAGGCCACAAAGATCTGGACAACCAGTGAAGGAGTATGGCCCAAAGTGGCCCTGTAAATTGGCCATTACCAATGACAGGACTGGGCAGGTTAGAATCTCCAACCTTTTTCCAAGCAAAATCTCCCCTGTCACACCCTCTCCAGTGCCATTTTTATCAGAGGTTGGCATTTCTTATGCAACCATGGTCTAAACAGCCTGGTGGGGGATGTCCAGGCCCTGTCTGAGTGGCCTAGAATTGACTGCCATGCTCACATGTAAAATCCTAGGACAAGCAAAGATGTTCAGATACACTATAGGTACCCTCTAAAGAAATGAAAGAGACCAATACTCATGTCCAGTCATTGTCTTAATTTTGAATATGCAAATAAAAAGAAAACTTTAAGCTGGCAAAATTAAGTTCTTTCCATCATTTTATACTGGCCATTCCTACTATTTTCCAATACTGTTTTCAAAATCTAGCTGGGAATTTAGAAGTAGAGATACTATATGCACTTAAAAGTCCCAAAACAGTGAGAAAAAAAAAAAAAATGGCATTAACTCAGAAGGAAACATCCTGTCTAGCCTTGAACCTCATAGCTGTACCTATCCATCAACAGGTACAATTTTCTTGATACTTGCTTTGCAGAAATTAAGTGCCTACCAGTCCCAACCTTCCACTTTTTCCAGGCTGCTGCCAACTTGTACCCATGGGAATGCAGAGATCTTTAAGTCAGATCTGACTTTCTTGGAACTGAATTCTGCATTCTTGTTGGAAACTATGGTCATTATAACTATTTTGCTTTTACTTTTTGATTTGGGTACTGGGGATGGACCTAGTGCATGCTAGGCAAGTACTCTACCACTAAGTCACCACCCCACCTCACTCCCTAGACCCCTTTAAAACTCAAAAGGAGTTGCTTAGGTTGACACTGAATCTATAATCCTCCTGACTTAGCCTTCCAAGTGTTGAGGTTGCAGGCCTGCACTATGTGCCCTGTCTAGGGATCGCTTTTGGATCCTCTTTTGAAAGAGAGAGTGGTTTGCTTCTATTATTTCAAACAACCCAGAGAGCTTTGTTGGACTAGCACATAACTGGGAGAACTGAATAGCATGGGGGTCCCAATACACTGAAAACCACATACTTATAATAATCAGAAATAATTTATCTTGATGACTTTTGTTCTGCTAGCTAAGGCCCACTCCCTCACCAGGCAGCAAAGATACATAGCCCCCATTAGGTGCAGGTTCTGAATGACCACAGATACTGGCCCCTCTCCAGGCATACCAGGAACAGAAATCCTTACTGCCTCTGTACAGCATGAACTACTAAAGGTCATACTCAAGAAGTGTTGTTAAAGGGTGTAGATCACCCACCTTGCACTTTTTTGGTCAAAGGGTCCAGTTCCTATGAGATGGTAGAGAGATCTGGGCATACTTTCAGTCACTGGAGAATTACTCTCATCACAGGAACTTAAGCCAGGTTCTGGAAGAGTCTGCAGATATACATGTCTGGCTGGCACAGCAGCTCTTAGTGGGTCAATACCAATAATCCACATTTCGCTCACAGGATTTTAGCCCAGCATCACCACTGCACAAAGCTAGGAGTGTTGCTCTCTTCTAAATGTGAATGATTGTCTCCTGTACCCTATTGAGTTTTCACAGAAATCATTAGCATTTTGACAAAAAGGACATAGTTTTCCATTTGCCCTGTCCACAGGCAAGATGTTAACATTGCAGATTTGATAAGAAGTGCTTAGAAAGTGCTAACATTACCCTGGTAATTAGTAGCTATTAATTCCAAGGACTCTTTTTTTGTTTTAAATGTATTTACACATACTGTTTTTAGGTTCTTTCAATACTAGTCTCTGACATTATAAAACTTCAGTATTGTTTTTTGCCCTTTGAGAATTTCTAAATACAAATTGAATTAAAAGGCTGTTCCAAAATCTGCTTCACCAAAAGGCATTAAAACATTTCTTAGGGCAGGGAAGCGTTCTACTTGTCTTTAGTTGCTATTGTCTGGGATGAACAGGAGGAAGTGGCTAATACACTGAAGATACCTGCACACACCAAGACATTGCTACTTTCCTTCCCTTGCACCTGCACAGTCCTAGGAGGCATCCACTGCTGGCAGCTTCTGGTTGTGCACTATAGACTGGCTCCGGTGATCTGGCCGTTATATTCTGCTGTCTCCATCTTGAGGATGTAGGGAATTATGCTGTCTATTGAAACATTGCCAATGAGACCAGTAAAAAAAAGTTCTTCTGTTATGTTGGAGCTCATGAGTCTAAGTGCTGGCAGACGGACAAGAATCCTGGCCAACCTGGAAAAAAGAATAGGCGTTAGAGAAATGGGGCATTTGGCTGTCTGTGGCCCAGCCCAGGATAACTCCTGGAGGTCCTTTTAGAACTACACAGAACTAACTAAACAGACCTATATTGACCTGCCTCTTTTGTTATTGAACTAAAAAACAAAGTAACAAAAGTTAAACATGAAGAAGAAAAAAGTACAAAAATGTATGTTCAAGATTGGTAAAACGGCTCAGTGAATAAAGGCACTGGCTGGTTTCCTTATGGTGAAAGGAAAACCAACTTGTACTTGGCTCTCCACAAGTGCACACATGCATGCCCACACATATACAACATAAATGTAAGAAGAATTTAACAGTAAATATGAAAAGTTCTTGTGCTGTTAAAAGCTATTCTTCCTACCTGCACACAAACAAATTGGAGATTCATCAACAATAAGTTAAAGTATAGAATGTTCCCATAATTAAGTGCTACAAACTCATTAGGAAGAATACTGTGGTGATGCCTATCTGCAACCACAGCACTCAGAAAACTGAGTCAAGAGAGTAAAAACTGGAGATCAGCTTGTGCTATACACTGAAACAACAATTTATAGTTATTTGTAAGCAAAGAGAGACATATTGCTCAATGCATATTTAAAAGGAGCACAGCTGTATGCTGCACATGTCTGTGCGCGTAAAGTAAGCATTTGGAAGAATACTTACCATATGCTCATAGTAGGCTCCTCTTGGCATGTTAGCCATGGGAAGGTAGGCAAAGTGTGTCAGTAGCCAAGTGAAAAAAGGTTAAAACCCTTCTGGAATTTATGGTCCCAATTACAAATAAACATGTTTTGAAAGTACATAATAAATATATAAATACACACACACATACACACACACACACACACACACACACACACACACACACACACACACAGTAGGTATCCTTGAATGATAAAGTAATTTTCTTTCTAGAATGTTCCAAGTTTACTACAGTGCCTAAATTGTTTATGGAATTTTTTTTTTTAGATTTATGTGTATGAATGTTTTACCTGTGTAGATATAAGTACATTACATGAATGCCAAGTGCCTGCAGAGTTCAGAGAATGATCCCTGGATACTGAGTTATAGACAGGTATAAGTGCCCATGTGGGTCTGGAAACTGAACACTGGTCCCCTGCAAGAGCAGTAAGTACTCTGCTGAAAGAGGGTTGTGAGACTCCTTGGGGGTAAGGCACAGTCGAACGACCCTTTCATGGGGGTTGCCTAAGACCATCGAAAACAACAGATTGTTTACAATTCATAATAGCAAAACTATAGTTATGAAATAGCAACAAATTTTATTTTGTTTTTAGAGACAGGGTTTCTTTGTGTAGCCTTGGCTGTTCTGGAACTAACTTTATAGACCAGGCTGGCCTCAAACTCACAAAGATCTACCTGCCTCTCTATCTCATTGGCTGGGGGGTCACCACAACATGAGGAGTTGTATTAAAGAGTCGTAGTATTAAGTTTAAGAACCACTGCTCTAATAACTAGTAACTTGTTTTTAAAAAGGGAGTAGGGAGCTGGCAAGATGGCTCGGTGGGTAAAGGTGTAGGTTACCAAGCTTGATTTTCACCTGAATTTGATTCCCAGATTCCTAAGCTGTCCTTTTACTTCTAACACATGCCCTATAGCATGTGTGCACCAACAAAGTTACACAGATAAGAAGTAGGTCCCATGCATGGTGGTAGATGCCTTTAATCCCAGCACCTAGGAGGATCTCTGAGTTTGAAACCAGCTTGGTCTACATAGTAAGTTCTTAAGATACTCTGATTTCTAAATGCTACATGTGCCCACACATTTACATATTACACACACACACACACACACACACACTCCTAGAAAGTATACAAAAAGAATTACAATAGATTATGCTATATATACAAAATCCTCCCCTGAGGAAATGCCTAAGTGGGTTTCTGATTTTTGTAGGAAAGCTTTTCTCATTTTTGGCCCTGAATTACATGGTGTCTTCATCTCAGCCCTCTTTCCCCGATCCCTGACTGGACTGGAAATGCTGCAGAATTTTGGTTCTAGAGTGAGGAGCGCTCTTCTGCAGTCTCTAGGACCACCTACTGACCACAGGAACTATGTATGGGAACACTGTGGCCTTAAGAGAACCCATCCTTGCAACCAGGCCAGACTGGGTATGGGTGAATAAACAGACAATCTCATTCTGTATGTACCAGAGACTGAAGTCGCTCTTCACATGTGACTCCAGGTTTTCAGTGACCCCAGTAGAAGTTGGTTTGGGGTTGAATCTGGACTAAGGAAATGGAGCACAAAACTATCTTGACTTTACACAGAAAAACCTACCAGAGCCCCTGGTACAACAGCATTTCCTTTGAGAAGCACAAGGCAGGAAGAGGAGCCTACAATGGAATTCTACACAAGGATACAAGTCTGGAAAAAGTTGGCTAAATGTCTTTCTGGATTGTTGCTTTTGTTTGAGAGGAAAGGGAGAGTTACAAAATTTGACCTGGAAAAACTTGCTATGCATTCTATTCTTTGGCAGACTGTCTAAATTTGTATTAGGCTAATACACATACCCTATTGTTAAAATATTGCTAATTAATTCTCATTCATATAAAAGGACTTTTCCCCCATCAGTTTTACCTAAGGGCAAAATTACCTTATGTAGGGGCCGGATTTCATTTTTGTCAAGTAATCCAGTGCTGCCTTTCCTGCTAAGTACTTAGCACCTCTGTAAAGTGTGAGAACTGAGTCTCAAGGAGTTAGTTCTAGAAAAGCACTCCCTTTCTGACTTATCACCTGTAATCTCAAGCTTCCCACCTAGCACTCTCTTATGCTTGCACTCTTACCTGGAGATGTAAGTGAACTAATAGAGGCTCTGGCAGGTTGATAGAATCTGACCCAGCTATCTCCCCCCCCCCCTTTCTGTGCTGGGCAGGACCATGTACCTCACCTGTATGTGTCTTCTGAGTAGGTTTTCTGCACATAGTCCTGTAGTTCCATCTGTGCCTTCTCCTGAAATTTTTCAATCTGGCTTGTGCCTGTCAAACCTGGATGATCTGAAAACAGAAAAGTATCCCCAAGTTTCTCTTTGTACTTGGAAAGTGTCATAAACATCTTTATCTTTATTAACTTGATAAGCTTATCAAATATAAGCAATTGAACTCTGAAGGGTGGCTCAGTGAATTAGGAAGTTGTCAGAACACTGGCTTTGTCTCTGTATTTTTCCCAAAGTTGTATGAGATCCAGGAGGGGATGTGACTTCTAGGAGGAGTCTCACAGCTCTCCTGAATTGGCTGTAGACTTCTTTCTTTTTACTACTGTAGGAAACAGATTTTTAAAGATAAATGAGGAATAATTTCTACCTAGATGTTTAATTACATAATAACTCCTTTTTAATACACTTTTGTTTTAGAGTAAGGAGTCTGAGAAAGAAAAGCTATGCTACATTCAGCCCTTGCTGTTGAGGTTGAAGATCAGCCCAAGTGACTTCTCCAGAGGCTTTGAGAATACATACAGAGATGAAGAATGTGAGGCTGTTAAGGTGTCTTTTGCTTTCAACCAGAATAATTCTGCCTCTTCAGCTGCTACACACACACACACAAGACCACTGGATGGTCCTATTTGGCCAATGGCTTAGTTAGGGTACAGATTGAATCTAGTCAGAACATGAATCCCCAGGCACATTTATTCAGGGCTATTGAGGCAAGGATTTAAATACTATATTGACGATAGATAGATAGATAGATAGATAGATAGATAGATAGATAGCAAGCAAAGTACTCAATATAAACACACTGGGTTATGTAAAATATGAGAAGACTCTCCTACAACATTAAGAAACACCAATAGACACAGTGCAAAGTGTCAGAAGTCCCCACCACATATCTTACCAGGGCTAAAGAGAACTATAGCTTTAAGGTATGCGTACTCATAGCCGTCTATATCCAGTTTCGCCATGCTGTTACAAAACTCCTGCAGCTTCCAGATATGCTCCATGACTTGCTTTATCCGGTCACCAGAAAGCTTATCTAGAAACAAAAATCATAAAGTCCCTGAGGAAAACTTCTAAGAACCAGACCAGTCTTTTAAGGAGGCCACATAGAGAAATGGAGGTTAAGTTCACTCTTTATAGAACCAAGTCTTTTCAAGCTGGTCAAGAACTGCATTTCCAGATGAAAGTGAAGTAACAAGAGGTGCTTGTGTCTGGAGAGACGGTTAAGGAGTTAAAGAGCACTCACTGCTCTTTAGAAGCAGTAGAAGACTTGTTTTCAGTTCCCAGCACCACACAATGGCTTACAATAATCTGTAACACTGGTTCAAGAAATTTGATGCCTTCTTATGATTTCTGTGAGCACTGTACACATGTGATGCAGACATAACACTAAGACAGACAGACAGACACACACGAAATAAAAACTTATTTAAAAAAAAAAAAAAAAAGGTACTTAAGTTAGCTGCCTTGTCCACACTGCCTCAGTAATGTAGCTAATTCAGCCTGTGTAGTAGCCAAGGGGTAATTCCTTTATAATAACGCATTCCTCCGTTCGTTATGGCCTTCTATAGGGCTATAATGAATTTCCTATTGCCAAAGCTGCTATTCCACTTGACTGTCAAATATTAGATGGCCACTGCAGCTCTTACTAGAAGACAGTTGTCCTTTCATAAAGAATAGGTGGGTCAATTCAGACACAGCTGGCCTTCTTTATCCTGGCACAAATTGGATCAAGATACATTTTATTCCTGTATTTCTAGGACCTACCTTCCTGGATACTGTTCTGCAGATGGTTGACAATGGCTGCCAGAATGGTAGAAAGACTCATGACCTGGGCACACTGGGCCAGGCCAAGAGTGAAGAGCTCATTCCAGCAGGCTCGCACCAGGCTGGTATTGCAGTCCTGTCTGGGAACATAAGGATAAGGCTGAGTATGGTGCATGTGGTCAACTAAGTATGTGAACCGTATGAGCTCAAAGCCTCAGCACCATCCATCTAGTAGCAAGGATCTTACAATGATCTAGTATATGTCCAAGATCATCCCCAGGAAAATGACCAATGTTTTGAGTAAGTTCATGAAGGTTTTAACTAAAGTCCCTTATTCTCTTTGACTTTTTTAGGGCTAGCAAGGTGGCCCAACAGGTAAAGATGCTTGCCATTAAGCCTAGTGATCTGAGTTCTATCCTCAAAATCCACATGGTAGAGAGAACCAATTCCCCCAAATTTTCCTGTGATCTTCAAAGGCAAGCTGTGACATACATAGTTAAAAAAGAAAGACATTTTTTTTAATGTATATTTGGTATATGTACATGACTGACTGTATGGTTATATGTGCATGTATACATTTACAATTAAGCCAGAGGTCAGCATCAACTGTCTTCCTTAACCACACTTGACGTTATTTTTGAGACAAAGTCCCTTAGTGAATCTGATGCTTACTGATTTGCCTAGGCAGGCTGGCCTCTGAGCTCCAGGGGATTTCTAACTTTACCTGCCCATTTTGGGTTTTACAGACATTCACCTTTGTGCCTGGCTTTTACATGGGTTCTGGGGATCTGAACTTAGGTTTTTAAACTTCCACATAGGCTCTTTACTGACCCATGTCCCAAGCCCTGGGAATAAGAAACTTTAATAGGGGTTCAAAAGATACTCAGAGTAGAATGCTTGTCCAGTAGACAAGAAGCCCTGAGTACAAGTGGGTGGAACACTTGTCATCCCAGCATTCAGGAAGTGAAGGTAAGAAGATTAGAAGTACAAGGTCATCCTCAGCTACATAATGAATTTGAGGCCAACCTATGTTACATGAGATAGGGTCTCACTAGCTCTGGTCTATATAGCTAAATCTTTTTGCCACTGTCTCCTCTGAGTGTTGAGACTAAAGGTATGTACTACTATACCTGGCTATAAACTTTAAAGTTTTCTTAAAATTTATTAAATCAAGCATAGAAGTAATATTGATGCATACTAAAATACTATCACTGAGGAGGCTGACACAAATAAAGATCCATAGGGCTCTCTTGCTAGACAGCTAAGCTTATGTGGGAAGTTCCAGCCTAGTAAGAGACCCTGCCTCACAAAAAGTATACAGTACCTGAGAAAATATCTGAGGTTATCTTTTCCCCCCCACACAGAGGCACGTGCGTGTGTGCACACACGTTTATACACACGTGTACACAACCCCTCTGAAGTTGTTTTTTGTGGGGTTGGGATGCATAAAGCAAACATTCTATCATTAAGACACATCCCCAGCTTCTCCACTACAGTTGGTTTCCCGTAACATTCTAAATCATATGGGTGTCTGGGACTCCGGTCAAAGATGAGAAGCTAGACAGATCAAATGACAAGCACTGAAGAGCAGAAACTCCATAACAAGGCTGCCAGTCAGAAGAGCTAGTCCTGGAACGGAAACAACTCTGTTTAGTCAATACTCAAGAACTACTGTAATTGGCACACTGCAGACACTTATTTCCAAAGCTGCCAGAAAGCTAGAGAAACTCCTTTATTCTGTTAGGATCACTATTCTGACCACTAATTTAGGATCAGTATGTGATTTATTAAAAAAAAAAAAAAAAAAACCTTTTAAAATGTGCTGGCCTAGGCAAAGGAACTCTGGAGGTTTCAAATTGACCCAATAAGGACAAATTAAAACAAACAACCCCTCCTCACCTCAGGGAAGTGGGAGTATCACTGTTTAGCTACACATCAGGACATCTTCACATAATAACCCTAAGATGTCAACTATTTCCCATATGGCATCAAGGGCAGGCCATTGTCATAGAGTTACCTGAATTTGCAAATGTTTGTTCAGTAATCATTGCTTGTCCAGTTGCCCTGAGAATAACAAACCAAACCTGTCCACCTCTCCTTTAATAATAAAGTATGGTGAACTACTGTTTTCACTACATGGGGGCTGGGGTGGGGTTGGGGTTGTATGCCAAGTACTCAACCCAGTAGCACACTGCTATATGAAGATCCCCTTGCATATTTGGCTTTGTCAGCTTTCACTTCTGGCAAGGACTCTATGGAGAGGAAAACTGAAGGCTGAGAGAAGTGAAATGATTTTCCTATAGCCTTACAGCTATCAAATGCTATTCTTAGGATTCTTAACCTGGACCTACCTATTCTAGGCCACTGCTATGAACCAGTGAACAACCTGATGTTTCACACCTATAACTTGTTTCATGTCACTGTTTATGTTCCAGCCAGACTGTAAGCCATAATGGTAGCCTGCTCTGATTGGACATTAGTTATTTAGCTCAGTAGCAAAGCTAGCATTGGAACTGACAGGAAACAGGATCATCAAACAGTAATGTTCATGAAAAAGAAAGCAGGAGGGGCTTTCTGCAAAGATGACACAGGCCACCAGTAGTCTTCATAGGCTGGCCAACACTGAGGCAAGGGATTCTGTGTGTTTACAGTACACACAGAAACCAGTACTCTGATACATTCATCCCGTCAAAGGCCAAATGGAGCTCCTAGCAACAAGTCCTTGGCACACACAAGCACTGTTTCCTCCAGTCTAGTGATTACATTTAATAAAACTTTGGTCTCTGAATAAGGTAAATTGGAACAATCACACTGGATAGGCCCATAGAGACCTTGTTGGCCATTCCTGGAGGGGAGAATGCCACTACTCAGGAACACCCAGGAAGAAAGGCCACTTACCCAAGTGCCTGGAAGGCCGGGATTGACCTTGCCCAGTGCATGGAAAGGAAAAGCAGGCGGGATGCAGACTCGCAGATGTAATGCACATTGAGGTACTCTGGCATAGGGCTGGGCATCGTAAGCTGGAAAATAGGAGGCACTGTGACACGAGCTAAAGGAGAGGGGCAGCTGCCCTTTCATATATCAATAAAGGTAACAGCCAAAGTAGCTGTCTCATATAGCTTAAAAGACCTGTCTTTAGTGGAATATATGTCCATGTAGCCCAGGCTTTCAGCAGCTCCATGTTTTCTTGCTCAGTGACTTGACTCCAACAGTCTGGATTGGGGTTCAGAGCCTGTAGAACACTTCCCAGCTCACTCATACAAAGACATCTTCAACAGCTCTCACTTGCAGCTATATTGCTACTTGTCTTAATTCCCCAATAAGTGTTTTTAAGCTCCAGATGCCCTGATTCCACAAAGGCTCTCTAGTGCCTTGGGGAGCAACCTGAGAAGCAAGACTTGGGCAGCTATAGTCAAGGACCCGATCTATTTAAGTGACTGACTAGATCTCTCCAGTACAGAGCACTGAGCCAAGAGACTCATTCTGGAGACTACAGACTGGATGCCCTGTCAGGATGGAAGACGCAGAAAGAGCATGGGAAAGACTGAGGATTACTAGTATTCTTCAATGATGGTAGCTATGGCTCTAGTGGGCAATAACTTAAGAACCAAATCTGGCTGCCTACTTGCAAATGAGTTTATTTGATGGCTTCTGTACACAGTAGAGAGGCAACAAGGTGCCCACCCACCTGAGCCAGGCTGTCACAGGAAGGAAGAGGAACAACAGCCATCCTCTGATCCTCAGTGGCTACCACTCTGGCAGTCTATCTGGGCAGTGATATGCCACACTTATTGGAGGGTCACTTCAGAACCAATGGCACCATGAAACAGTTATGTAAAGAAACAACAGGAATATGCTTTGGAATTCAAGATTCTGTCACAATTAGAAAATGAGCTCATGCCAGGCAGTGGTGGTATACACCTTTAATCCCAGCACTCAGGAAGCAGAGTCAGGCAGACCTGTGAATTCAAGGCCTGCCTGGTCTACAAAGTGAGTTCCAGGACAACCAGAGCTGTTACACAGAGTAACCCTGCCTTGGAAAAAACAAAACAACCAAACAAACAAAACCCACCAAAAGTAATTAAAGAAAATGAGCTGGATGCAATGTCTGACTTTTGAGATTATATAGTACCTGGCTCCAGCACTTACATGTACTCACCTTAAATGTGACATGTGTGTCTGAAAGGAGGGGGCCTTCAACTTCAATGATGGGTGTTGACTGGTCTCTGCTGATAACATGGATGCTCCCTCCTCCACTAGCATCTATCCCATCTGCCAGGCTGGGAGGTGAAGCACTATCTGTGGTATTAAGTGCTTTAGCTAAGGTATCAAATGCCCTGTGAGCAAAATGAAGCAGGTATCAATGGCAAGTCAATAAGAGAGCTCCAGCTGATTCTACTGAAAGAAGCCACAAATGGAGACAGACAATTCAGCTCCACTCAGAAGGCAGTGACGCTCTTCTTCACCACGTATTTAAGTACTAAGCTATGTAGTTTCTATTTTCACATATAAATTCTACTTTTTCATAACTACCCTCCTAAGACATAAATTTTCTACACTTCATAGTTGTGAGTGCTGAGGTTCACAAATATATTACCTTTTCCAATACCACTCACAAAGTAACCAGAATTCTTTATAATTTAGATGTCATTTTCTTTCTCCTATGCCTAGATCTGAATTGAGATTTAACAGAAGAACCAAGCAAAGGAATTGTGTAGCTCCCAGAATGCACTAATCTGGACTGACACAAAGGCTAGAATGTAAGAACAAAACACAGGGGCCAAGCTACATGGAAGAAACACCCTGAGCAGCCTGCCAATGCCACTTGGAACCAACTAGTACTATCTACCAGCTACCATGTACCATTCAGAAAATGGATGCAAGCAAATACAAACAGTAAGAGGAAAGAGGTACACTGTTCTGTGCAGGTGCATTACAGAGTGTTCAAGACAAAGAACATTTGTCTGATGAAGGCCCTGGTGTAGGGAATGAACAATAGTTCTGACTGTCTTATGTCATATGATATAAGCAGGTCCTCTTCCAGTGTGAGTGCCCATAGTTAAATGTAGAAGACCAGCAATGTGTGGGTTGTGACAACTTTATAGTTCTTAATTAGATACAACTGGGGTACTTTTGAAGTATGTAATTCAGTGGCATAGCACTTGCCTTGTACACAGGAGCAGAGGTCAATTTCCAGCATCAAAAAACAAAACAAACGTATTTATAACATAGGTGCCAAATGCTGATATCCAGCCTTATAACACAGCGCCTGGGGATTATGGGATATCAGAGAAGCTCATACCGAGTGATTTCACTTGCAGACTGGTCCTCTGGTTGCATTTCTGAAGTGTCACCATTGTTCAAAGATTCACTCAGGTTAGCCAGAGAAGTCACTACATTTGCCAGTGTGCCCAGAGCTCCTTGGCTTGTTTCAGCCTATTAAATAACCAATAGTAATATAGAAAAAAATAAACAGTAACATTAAAAAAAACTAGCATATGTATGCAAATGAGTTAAGGGCAATGGAATGAAGAAGATAACATGTTTATTCAAGGCCAGCTTCTACAGGGTGTGAGTAAAAAAATCATACCAGGGAGATCTTTCTGTATATAGAATGGATCAGGTCTTTTGTTTTTTGTATCTTGGTTGTGGTCACACACACAAATCCACACAGGTGATGCAGTGATATAGTGATAACATGACAGAAAAACAAATAAAGTAGACTTCTCTAACCACAACTTTTGTGCTTTAGAAGATACTTAGAAAGTAGTAAAGAAATGGGTGGGGGCAGGACAAGCAAAAAAAGAGAGAGAGAGAGAGAGAGAGAGAGAGAGAGAGAGAGAGAGAGAGAGAGAGAGAGAGAAGGTAGTAAAGAAACAATCTGGAAGAAGGAAATATCTTCAAGTCACATATCTACATATCTAAATACTAAAAGATCTCTACAACACAATACAAAGACAACCTAATTTTAAAAGGGACAAAGATCTGAAGATACTTTCAAAGATGTACAGATGGCCAATAAATATGTTCAACCTCACTTGAAATACAAATCAAAACCTCAGTGACGCTTCACATAAGTTGGATGCTATAATCCAAGAAAAGAACATGTTTTTCTAGATGTGGAGGAATCAGAACTGTTACATATTGTTGATGGAACTACAAAATGGTGTAGTCACACTCATAAATAATCTGGCATCTCCTCAAAGTTTAAAAGTTGCTCATGGCCATCTACCCTTCAAACAATCCAAATGCTAATCACCTAATAAACAGATACACAGCATGAAGCAGCTAGGCAGTAACATATGTTTTGGCAATGGAAGGAATGAACTACAGGAACACATCATGTCATGGATGAAACCTAAAGATAATAGCTAAGTGAAAGAAACCAGTTGTGAAGGAGCCATACTTACATGATTTCTTTCATATGGAATGTATTGTTAAATAATTGTTAAAAAAAAAAAAAAAAAAAACATGTGGTTGGCCTGGCTTGATGAGTTTCTTTTAAGAAGGTAAAGAAATTCTGGAATTGGTGGTGGTTAAGTCCAAAATCATGAAAATATACTAAAATACCATAAATTTATATACTGCAAGGGTGACAGATTGTAAATTATATCCAACTTATAGAGTCAAAAATAAACCATTAAATATATGCACATGCATCCACCATCATCCCCCCCCCACTCTCCAAAATACATATACCTATGTGGGTTTAGTTTTGTTTTTCTTTGTGTGAGTGTGTATGTGTGTGTAATTAAAAAAAAAAAAAATCAGTAGAAAAGTTTTAAGCACAAAACTGATCAATAAATTATGGTAGAACCACAGAATATTGTGCAGGTCACCACAATGGGAGGGAGGTGACTTCTTGGACCAACAGACATCTCTATCTGCAAGTTCATTCTTTCTGGCAGCTTACTGCAGATTACCAAATGGAAAGGAACTGGAGCCTCTGCAAAAGGCAGCCTTAGAAAGAGTAGTTATTTTCCAAGCATGCTGGTAGCTTGCCAATATGTATAGCAAGGGGGAAAATAATAGGGAATACAACCATTGAATGTCCACAACCTACCATGTGTTAGTGATTATGGATTATGAGTAAACAAATTCTAGAACAGCTATACAGAGCTATAGGAGGCTATGCTTTCAGTATCATCTCTGATGGTCAAGAGGGCAGGTGTAGTTGGAAAAGCAGCCTGCACTGCAACACACAGAAAGAGAGAATGTTACCTTGGAATCTGTGGCCAGGAGAACCGTACCATCCTCACGAATTAAAGGCTGCTGGATATTCACAAGCATCCCTGGATCAAGAAGACCTGTTTGTCTATTTAAGACACAAAGAAACCCAGAGTAGCTTCTAACTTTTTCTGTACAGTATGCTTATACTGTATTCACCTGACTTTCATATCTGCAAGGCTGTCTGCTAAGAAAAAAGCTCTAACACTTAGCCTATAGTGAATGGCCAGCTCTCTGCTCTTGCTGATGAATGTCTCACAAAGCCAGGCTAAAGGCTGAGGGACGACAGAACACATGCATATTCCTAGGCCTTCTAGCTAACTGTGGCCATTTTCCTCTAAATTTAAATTCACAGAATTGTCCAGAGATCCTCAACTTCAGCAGCTCTTTGTGTAAGACATTTTAGATTTCTGATATTCCTTATTTCTGTTCTCTTTAAAACTAGTTCAACAGAGTGTGTTAAAAAGAATGTGCAAGCTAGTCTATGGCATTATCTGGCCCATTCTTCACCTTGGACCTTTTGTCTATATTGTAAAAAAAAAACAAAACAAAAAAAAAAAACAAATGGTCAGTTCTTCTGAGTTACAGCTATTTTTGCTGTTTGCATGAAGCCTAAACTGTAGGATCAATTGTGACCTGGTGTACCATCAGCAATGTTAAGTGAACTCAAAAGGGAGAATGAGGTATGCCAGGACTGTACCACATGTGTGCTCTTTCCAGGGATATCTGCTCTTTCTCTGGCCAGTTTGGAGGCCAGTCACAGTGCTGCTCTGTGAGAACAGGAATCTTACCTTGCTCCATCCTTGTCTGCCACAAATGTGGGAGTGGCTATCAGAGGACTTCTCAGGTCTTTTCGGATATAGATCTTCTCAGTTGAAGCAGCACAATTGCTTGGTTTCTCCCGTTGCACATCAAAGGGCTTCCGTTCACTTTGTACAGCTTAATTTACAACATATATATTCACATTTAAAGAAAGAGTAAAATGAATAAACATCATAACATAAAGTGGACTCTTAGCAAATCTGTAACTCTGGTGTTTGGTCACTATGGGCTTTCCAAACAGAGGAAAGAAAGTAAAAATCAAATAGCCCCAATACAAACCTAAAGGTATATAGACAGTTCAAAATGGCAGGTGTTGCCTGCTGATAAAACTGCCATGCTGAAGTGATTTGAGAAGGCCATAGTCCCCTGGGTCTTTTACTTCTGTCACTAACCAGTTGGGTTTAGGATAAGAAATGCCTATATTCAAATGGACCCTTTATAGAGATTATACCATGAATGGTAGAGCAACCTCTCCAGAGTCCAATTCCGAAGAGCTTCAGCAAACTGAAGGCTGTTAATCGTATGGCAATTTCTCTCCCAGCAACCTAGTGTTAAGAATGGTTATATAGGAGCTGGAGAAGGCTCAGCAGTTAAGAACATATTGCTCTTGAAGAAGACTAGAATTCAATTCCTGGCACTCGCATCAGGCAGCTCACAACTGCCTGTAACTTCAGTTCTAGGGAGACCCAAGGCCTCTGTGGATACCTGCATTCACATGTAGACAGCACACATACACATACATATATGTAATTAAAACAAAAATAACATTAAAAAATGACAGGTAGGGGCGTTGGTAGCACACACCTTTAATCCCAGCATTCGGGAGACAGAGGCAGGAGGATCTCTGTGAGTTAGAGGCCAGCCTGGTCTACAGAGTGAGTTCTAGAATAGACTCCAAAGCAATACAGAGAGAAACCCTTTCTCAAAAGAACAAACAAAAAACAGACAGATTTTTTTTTTCTTTTTGTTACAAGCAACTGAAGAAAAGCAGATCTTGGGGGAGGGGTGGGATATATAGTACATGTATGTACAGAAGCCAGAGGGCATCACTGAATGTTTTCTACTATTGCTTCCCACCTTTGTTTTGATTCAGGGTCTCTCAATGACCATGCAAATCATTGGTTGGATAGACTGGCTAACCAGCAAGCTTTGGTGATCCACCTGTCTTTACCTCTAGTGCTAGGAATTAAAGGCATGAGTAATAATGCCCAGCTTTTACATGGGTGCTGGAGATTAGAACTTGCAACCTCATTCTAGTACAGCAGACACTTTACATATTGAGCTATCTCCCCAGCCCACAACTATTCTTAAAGTGATAAAGCTTTGGATCAAGATGCCCTACTACTAAGCTGGAATGCAGTAGGACCTTGAGTTTGCATCTATGCCTGTGATTACCCCCACTTTAGCCCCATCACTGCTTACAACTAAGGACAGCCTGACAATATGACAGGGAAACCCCACACTAAGGTAGTCATGTATGTACTGTATTTACTGTAGCAGAACAGGTTACAGATATACTTCTTGTTTCCCTGTGGATTTTGCATTGTCCCATTCCTACAATGGGAAACAAAACTGAAATCCATTGGCTCTAATCTTCCCAGGAGCCATGCAGCACTGTGAGCATGGTGTGGGCCCTAACTCTGTACTCTGTTCTTCTCTATCCCTGCTGTACTTTTTTGGATTTTTGGAGGCAGGGTTTCTCTGTGTAACAGTCCTGGCTGTCCTGGAACTTACTCTGTAGATCAGACTGGCCTCAGACTTACTGGGATCCATCCACTGCCCAGCCCTGCTGTACTTTAAGAACATAGCACTGCTCTCCTTCCTTGACTTCTTTGTTGCCTACTTTGAGACCTGGTTCTTTTGATTCCACCATCAAGAACTGACTCTATGATGGGTCCTTGTGGATTTTGGACAGGGTTAGAAATACCTGAACCCTCAAAAGTATGGCTATAGGAAGTGAGAGGAGGGTTTCAGTCCTTCTGTGGCTGCTCCTAATTGGGGACCTTCTTAAGAATGTGAAGGCTGTAGCAAAGAAAGGAGGTGCTGGGTCACAGGTAAGGCCCAAAATTGAGAGAGATAATATGGAATGTTCTTTTGTATGCTGTGAATGTGTTGCTTTTATTGGTTGATGAATAAAGCTATTTGGGCCAATGGCCAGGCAGAATACAGGTAGGTAAGAAAGCCATACAGTTACTGAGAGAAAAAGAAGGTGCAGCTGGGGAGACACCATGTAGCCTCCAAGTGGTAAAGATGTCAGAACATTACTAATAAGCCACAGCCTCATGTTGATACACAGATTATTAAAAATGGATTAATTTATAAGAGTTAGCCAGTAATAAGCCTAAGCTACTGGCCAAACAATTATATTTAATATTAGTCTCTGAGTGATTATTTCATAAGTAGCTTCAGGGACCTATGAGCAGGAGAGAAACTAGTCCAGGGGGACCAAACAGGACAGAGAAAAACATTCAATTATAGAGAGCCACCATGTTTCTGGTAGCTCTTCGGCAGCAGAGCTGGAATGACTTGGTCTCAAGCTTTACCTTGAAGCTGGTATTACCCACCCTTAGTTCCCCTTGCCTGTATTCTGATTCATCTAGGTAAGAGGCTTTCAAACATACTATGGAGACTGACCAAACCCAGAAGCATCAACTCTGGATCACCTGGATGCCCCAGGAGGTAAAACATAGTGAAGCTTGTGTGACTATTTTCCCCTTTCATTTAAAGTCAAATGTAAACACCTTCCTTAGCAGGTATTTGCTAACATGGGGCCCTGCTACTCACATTCCATTTTCATGCCCATCTCTAGGCACTTTTTCAGCCTACAGAACTGGCAGCGATTTCGGTGATGCTTGTTGATGATGCAGTCTTGGCTGCTCCGGCAGCTATAAGTCAGATTCTTCCTCACGCTCCTTTTGAAGAAACCTTTGCAACCTTCACAACTGACAGCCCCATAGTGACGGCCTGAAGGGAGTGAGTGAGCACATGATCTGGTTCGTCACAAGCAGAGGTGAATTGCCCAGCCCTATTCCCACTTGGAATGCACCTTGTCAGAAGCTGCTACCACAACAGCCCAACAATGTCTACCTCATGTGTTCATATTTCTACAATAACCTTGTAACGTCACAATGGAAATCCAAGGCTTATACATGATGTGACTGCCCTTGGCACACAAACATCCCACACAAACAGCAGTTCAGGCAACACTGATCCAGTGCATGACCCCTCGGCTCACTCTTCATAGCTGACAAAGCTGTTGTATATAAACAGAAGCTTGCAGCTAATACTGTCTGTGTACATTCTGGGCCCCTCTTGCTTGCAGAGCCCAAAATTACAGCTGAATTGTTAGGAAGATACTAAATAGCATCACTGCTTATACTGACTACAGAGGTAACTTGGAGAATCTCATTTTCCTTTAGAGAATTGTGGCGTAAAATGAACACTGTAGATATTGCCTTGACCTTCTTTGCAGTAACTCCTTGAGCTTCCTATCTCTGAGTGACTTCTAGTAGCTGGAGACAGTGGCACTATAAGGCTATGTAATGAGCCCTTTCCTTGTAGCTCAGAAGAGCCCTGATCAACAGGAAAATCAGGCACTTTAGCCACTTTGTTCCTGCTTCATGTATTCCAAATTTGCAAAGTGTGTCTATCTCCTTGTTGAACAAGTATAGCACTCAAACACTCCAATGGAAAAGTTAGTATCAATTATTGGAGACTGTAACAGATGCCTAGGATGGACTGAAAAAAGGCTATCAGGACCAGTGGCAGCACTCTCTACCTGATTCCAAGGGAAGATAGGGTTTTCAAGTGGTAGTATGGACCGGCTTTACCAAGACAAAGGAAGGGTAGGACCAGAAGCAGGCACCAATGGCAGAGAAATGGCATAACCAGCTTAAAGGAGAATTTGGACCGAGCATAAGACAAAATGAAATCGAGGACAATAAAACATCCAGACTTCCTGCGAGTAGAAAAAAGCTCTCAGAACTCAGATTCACTGAGCTGAGCTTCTCATTTCCCACTGCCTCACTTACTGTCTGTAGCTCCCCAGTACTAGCAAGCCTCCTGTCTCCTTTCATCAGAACACTAACTGTGGAAGTCTTTGAGCTCTCCTTGAAGGACATCAGAAGCACAGACATAAATAATTCTCTAGAAGCCTTAGGTCTTCACTCAGTGTGAGCAAGCACAAACACACAACACACTCATGCACATTTGTGTACAGAGAGAGAGAGAGAGAGACAGACAGACAGACAGACAGACAGAGACACCGTCAGGTCTTTACTCAGCATACATACATACTATATTCAGTGTACACCCCCTTGGGAAGGTGTTCCACTCCTCCATCACAGAAGCTTATACACAGGGTACAGTGAAAGGATAAAAGTGAGATCGTTTGGATGAAGGGAATTACACACATAACACACCTTCAAAGAGACAAGCAAGAGGAAATAAAGTTTTACTTTCCTAATAGCATATAAATACTTGAAAACAAATCAGAGTTTCTTGACTTTTCCTGTCAGTTTGAAAATTCTGACAAACTATTATGTGAGGTTCATGTTTTAAACCTACATATTTTTTCTCAACTACACACTCCCCTACCCTATATAAGGCCATGCTGTTGCTCTATGATATGCATCAGAAGCTAGAGTCACATACCAGAGGCTTTGTCGCCACAGACCACACAGTACTCCACCACCTGGGGGCGCTGGACGTCGGCCTTCCCCAGCAAACGCTCCACAGAAGCAGAATCCGTGACGATCTAAAATGTCAGCAGATGAACATCACCAATTAACATCTAAATAAATAAGTAAAATAACATCTAGTTGTACATTCCCAGTCTTGGGAATGCTCTGGGCAAAACTAGAATTACTCTGATAGCTTCATTCAGGTAATTCTGTTTCCCCACAGGCCTGCACATGTCAGTGACTGTTCTCCTATCTTGTGAACATCACCAAGACTAGAAGCCACATGGGGATCACATATAGATTCTCTAAGGTAAAGACAGGCTAAGTTCTTCAGCTGTGCTTCTCATCCCAACAAACAACATGGAAATGTGCAAGCTGGTGTTTATCAGAGCTACACCCAGGTTTTCCCTGGTGATGGGTGAACTAGCACAGATGACAGCAGAAGCCTACTATTTCCTCTTACTTGTAGGTAAACAATACTATCCATCTAGGAGAAAACATAAATGATACCAACCTAAGAAAGTTTAAAGTACTTAATTTGAGCACACAATAAACCTTTACATCAATTTCATATGGTGAGACTATATTTATAAATCAGGTAAAATCACCTGTGAAATGTGACATAAGCAGCTAGTCTTTCACAAACCTGTACTTTTAACAAGTTTAATATCAAAAAATCAAAACACACTTTGGGAGAGGGAAGATAAGATGGACAATGCTTGCTAGCTACATAAATATAAAAACACATCAAAAAAATTTAAACAAAGTGTCTGAAGAGATGGTACAGCAGTTAAGAGTGCTCTTGTGGCTGGGTGGTGGTAGCACATGCCTTTAATCCCAGCACTTGGGAGGCAGAGGCAGGCAGATCTCTGAGTTTGAGGCCAGACTGGTCTACAGGTTCCAGGACATCCAAGGCTTTTATGCAGAGAAACCTTGTGCTCTGTGGAGAACTCAAATTCAGCAACTAGTACTCAAGTTTGGGCACTGCCTACAACTGCCTACAACATACTCCACAAAGATACTCACATGGGGGTGGGGGTGACAGGAAGCTGCCAGGAGGGGGCTTGAGAGAAGAGGAATAGAACTCAAATCTCTTCACTGTGACTTATGTCTGAAGAGTCCCAATAGGCAGAGTTTCAGTTTGGAAGATGAAAAGAGTTACAGATGGTGTTCACATTGAAAACTGGCCCTGCTCTCCTTCAGTGTCTGTTCTTATTTTTGTGGCTGCCCCAATCCCATTTTGCTTCTCCCTCCAGGAGTAGAGATAATTAAGAAGTGCTGGAACTAGAAGTACAGAGCACTTCCTGGAAATATGTGCTATCAGAATGAAGAGCTCAACCCAGGCTTTGGCCAACTACATGAGACAGAGGTTAAATGTTCAATTGGAACCTCCACCTCACTTCTGCACAATCAGGAAAGCCACATTCCTGTCTCTCTCTCCAAACCCCACCTCTCAGAAAGTCTCCAAGAACCCAATTCTGCATTCTTGGCCACTACTGCAACTTCATCCCCTGTTGTTGCCAGCAGCCCAAGTCCCTGCCCAAACATTCAGCTTTTTGACCATACTTAGGCACAAACCAAGCTTGTGGTGGATAGGTCATCACTCCTCACCTACAACCTATAAAGTCTCCCTGCTTTCCTATGTGGGTGCTTCTTCTCCAGTCTGACCTCTGGGACTGGAGAACTCGCCTGGGAGTTGTTTTGCTCAAATAAACCTGTTATTCTACTTTTTCAATTTGGCTTGATCTTGTCTACTTTATAAGAGTAAAATCCTCTATCACGGCAGAAACATAGCAGTCCTGCTTCTCTGGTGGTGGTTGGCTCTAGCAGGTATCTTAAAGATACCATAGGCTAATGGTTTCCACCCATGTGGTCTTTTAAGAATAAGTCTCCACTTGTCCTCACTATCACCTTGCCTATGCCAATGACTTTTCCTTGGCTTATTGCTCTTGCTGATTGTCTTCTGGGTGAAGCCACTCAATTTACTGCTTTTTTACTTTAGTTATATAAGGCCAAAATCCTGCCATGCTTATAAATCCCTAAAGGAAGGCCCTTGCAGGGGTGGATATGGCCTCCAAGGCAGGGCAAAACTAAGCTGAGAAATTCAACTACCAACAGGCCATACCTGGATCCTGCCAGGGACAAGGTTGTCTGAGGTGGTGAATATGAGCTGCTTGGCACTGGATGTCTCTGGAGACGCCAGGATCACCTTCCCAGTTCCAGCTCCATCTGGGCTGGTCAGGATGAACTGCTGTTTGGAAGATCCGGAGGCGTCCACTGCGGTGACTATCTGGATCTTCTGTCCTGTCTGCTGGTCTGTAACAATCTACAAGATATAACACGGAACCCCCTTGCATGGCATGTCTTTAGATATGTGCACTTGTAGGAGGTGATCACTATAATCAATGCTAGTTTTAAGATGTTTTACCAGTTGGGATGGCTAATCTTCACTGTCAACCTGACTGGAGTTAGAATCACTATGGAAACACACCTCTAGGTGTGTCTATGGGAGTCTTTTCAGAAAGATTTAACTATGAAGGGAAAACTGCCCCTGAATGTAAGTGGTGCCATTCCATGAACTGGGACCCTGGACTGAACAGAATAAAAAGAAAATGAACTGAGCACTAGAAATCAGTCTGTTCTGCTTCCTGACTATGGATGCCATGTGACCAGCTATCTTATGTTTTTGTTTCCATAACTTTTCTACTATGATGACTGTACCCTAAATCTGAACCAAAATAAAAACCCTTCTTTTTGTAAATTTACTTTACCATTTTGTCAAGACAATGAGAAAAAAAATTAACTAATGCACAAGTTCCATGGTGAAGTAGGGTAAATACATAGTGAGCTTTTCAGAAATTTTTTCATAAATTAGTTTCACTCTAGGATTAAAAGTCCCTTATGTGAAAACAATTATAATAGATAGACTTAAACACAAAAGGAAGGAAGGAAGGAAGGAAGGAAGGAAGGAAGGAAGGGGGAAGGGAAGAGAGAGAGAAAGAGGGAGGGAGGGAGGGATGGGAGGGAGAGGGAGAGAGGGAGAAAGGAAGGAAGAAAGGAAAAGGGGGGGAAAGGGGAGAGGGAGGGAGGGAAGGAGGAAGGAAGGAAGGAAGGAAGGAAGGAAGGAAGGCCCATATTCTGTCAAAGTCAAAAAAGAAGGCAGCCTTAACTCTTCAAAAATCTGGAGATAGTTGCTTTAAATAAGTAATACTTTTAAAGGGAAGGTCCTGTTAAGGAACCTTGTGATGGGTGACAGAATTCACTTAGCTTACCACTGTAATTCATCACTAGTCTACTCCATTTTCTAACTTTGAGATCTCTTAGAGGCCATATCCAACTTTACTGATGGGTAGTCAGGGCCAGAAGAGGAGAGAAGATAATAAAAGACGGTGGAATGCACTAACTCGGGAGAAAAAAGGCCTCATCCCAATTCCTTGACGGCCCAAAGCCTCTTCTACCTTGAACTCATAATTCTTACCCCTCAGATTCTTAAGGACTGGGATTACAGGTGTGTGACACCACACTTAACCTTTATGTACCATTTCCTCTATGAGAAACATAAAGTAAACACAAAGCACAACCTTGAGCTTGAGACAAAAGAAGCAAGCTTGGAGAGAAACAGCTACAAACCTAAGAGACTTCCTTAGACCCTGCAGCACCCCAATTTCTTCTTACACACCTGGCCTCCAGAGTTGTGGGAAAACTTGTTTCTGTTAAGTGACAAAGTTTGGGGAAGCTTGCACTGCAGTCTTGGGAAGCTTATACTAAGAGGCAAGCTCATATTTACCCAACTGAAAAAAATGGCCATGTTCCCTGCCTACAAGTAAGAGAGAACTGAGGGGAAGACTAAGGAGAGATCCTATTCTCTGTGACCTTCTGCCCATTCAGAGGTGATAGGAACTTATTACAGATTAGTGAAAGAGCTGAGCACAACACACATCTTGTGTTTTTCCTCAGACTGATAGTTTCCAAGGAATAAAGTGAAGGGGAAATGGGTAGAAAAATATGTTTTAAGTACAGTTGTGTGGAACCAGATATGGTAGGGTGACACAACAGGGCAAACATACCACAATGCTACTAAAATGCAATTAAAAATATTTTTGTAATGTGCATTTTACTAACAATTATGTATCATTTTTAGGTGGTCTTAAAGTATTAAAATATAAATTGTAAGTACTAAGGCAACAACTGAAAGCATTTTTAAAAGAAATATATTTGAGAGGCAGCAAAATAAATCACATAAGTATCTCCACTAAAACCAGAAAGAAAAACCTCTGGCAATTAACACAGAAGTTATACAAAAGGGTGACATTAATCTAAAGTTATTGATAAGCAAGTAAATATAAATGGTCTGCATACAACAATGAAAATACAAAGATTATTAGGTAACACAAGACTTAACATTTTTCATATACAAAGACACAAAGAGATGAAGAAAATTGTCTCTTGTACATAAAAATAAAAACAAAACAAAAATAGTAATTATGATAGCTAAAGTTACATTTAAAGTTTTTTGAGACAGGGTATCTCTGTAGCTTTGGAGCTGTGCCAGAACTCACTCTGTAGACTAGGTTAGCCTTGAATTCACCTGTCTCTCTGCCTTTCAAGTACTGGGATTAAAGGGACGCACCATCATTGCCCTGGAAGTTTTAATTGCTATGCCTAACTAAGAGATCCATGAAACAAAAATGTCTCTGATCTTGCTCAAGGACAGATAATTCCTGAAGTACTGGAGGCTATTGTTTGTGTAAGATAACAAGCCACATGTTTTCATTCCTCTAAACAGATTTGTTTGACCCATCTGCACCGGATGTGCTTGATCACATGTGGGCAGGAGTTTCACAGGCAGGAAATAAGTCAGGATGTATGCTTGCCCCTGATTGGACCTGATGGGAAATGCAATAAATTATGTTTTTCTTCTTAAGCCCTTGCAAAAGACTCAGGGCCATTTCTCAGGAACCTGGGTATGGAGCTGAACAGAGCCCATCCACTTGGTCAGTATTTAATTAAAGCTTGCTTCAAATTTGGTTTAAACTGTGGTAGTAGTTTTATTCTCAATCCATGGGATTAAAATAAAAACAACAAAGAGATGGAGTAATTATATTAATCTCAAACAAAATAAACTTCAAAATAAGAAAACTATCAGGTCCTGTAAAGAGACACTGCATAATGACAATCAATTCTCAAAGAAAGATGTAATAATCCTAAATCCATATTGCCAAAAAGGAGCAAAATACATTAGGTATAGAGTTATAGGATGTAGCTCAGCTATTGCTTAGAATGTACAAAATCCTAGGTTCCATCACTAGCACTAAAACCCAAAAACAATCAAGACAAACAAAATAAGTCAACTGCAGACAGAACTAGAGGGAGGGATAAAAAAATTCACAGCTATTGTTGGGAGATGTCAATGCCTTTTTGTAAGTACCAGCAGGCACAAAAACTAATAAGGAACTAGTAGGCTAACCAGCACAAGCATCATAATATAAATTCATATGATAATGCCCCTAACATCCACAACAACTCTCCTCAAACTTGCACAAGATAGTCACAAACAGAAACTACATTCTGGCTTTTATAATGCATTGTAAAAAAGTCTACAGAGTGCAAAGCATATGCAGTATATTCTCAAACTCAATGAGACTTAAGTAGAAATCAAAACAATATTATTGCTGAATAAAACACAGGCTGAAGACATAGTTATGAGTGTAATGTTACCTTAGGCTAAGTGGGGCTCACAGCAGATGTCTTGGCTAGCTATTTGACAGTCACTGGTGTATAATGACACCTAAAGACATCTGCTCATCTGGAGCCAATACAGAAAGCTGAAGCAAACACCCCAGAGCATAATTCTGTAGAACCCCAACATTTTCCATTAGGGAGAGAAGATCAGTAGGAAACTACAACTACAACTAATAACACAAATAACCAAATTATTCTCCTTTCTTACATATAGTCTCCACACCATTTCCTAAATAGGTCTTTCCTATAAGACAAATAACTCACTCAGCTGAAGAATCAGAGAGACGTCACAGCAGTAACATAGCCTTTTCATTCATATATACATATACATATGTATGTATATACGCACAAATGTATGTATACACACACACATATATATATTATATATATGCAGAAAGTAAAATTATATATATATATGCACAAAGTAATTTGGATCATAAAGTATATTTAAATACAGTAAGATAACTGAAAGTTACCATTTTACAGGGAAAGACAGGAAAAACAGTACTTTTCTGTTATATAACTATATGTGTTCCAGTTGGATTTTTGTCTAGACTTACCTAGGAAGAGGGAAATCTTGAGAAAATAACTCTGTAAGATTGGCCTGTCAGCAAGCATATGGACCATTTTCTTAATGACTGATGTGAGGTGCCCAGCTTTCTCTGGGCAGGTGGTCCTGGGCTGTACAGGAAAGCAGTGGGGCAAGCCATGAGGAGAAAGCCAGGAAGAAGTATCCCTGCTCTCTACTGCTCTATCACTGCTTCAGTTCTGGCCTCCAGGTTCCTGCCCTGACTTCCTTCAATATGGATGGTCATGGGAGTGTAAGCTTAAACCTGTTTCCTCTCCAAGGTGCCTTTGGTCACAGTGTGTTCTATCACAAGCAAGAGAAATAAGACAATATGGAACTACCTTTAAAAGGGGGTGGGGTGGGGCAATGTACAAAATGTTGAACCTTCTCTCAAAGAGTAAGAGGACCAGGGGAGATGGCTCAGTCAGTGAATTGCTTCCAGTGCAAGCATGAAGATCTGAACTCAGATCCCAAATACCCATATAAAATCTGGGTAAGGCAAGGAATACCTGTAACCACAGCAGATCCAAAGGCTTACTGGCTAGCTAGGCTAGCCAAAATTGGAAGTTCCAGATTTTTATTAAAAACAAAATTCTTTTTTTTTTTTTTTTTTTTTTTTTGTAAGAAAGGAAGGGCTAGAGATCTGGCTCAGTTAATAGAATGCTTGGCTGACATGCCCATGGCCCTAAATTTGATCCTCAAGCACAATTTAAAAAAAAGGGGGGGGGGGTGATGTGGTGGCACACACCTGTAATTCTGTCACTCAGGTTGCACATGGATATTCACTCAGTGAGTTTGAGGGAAGAAGAGAAGGAGGAGGAAGGAGAAAGAAGGAGGAGGAAGGAGGAGAAGGAAGAAGGAAGAAGGAGGAAGGAGGAGGAGGGAAGAGGAGAAACAAAGATCTACTGAAAGAAACCTATGCTCACTCAGTGCCTTGAATGACAGGACTTTGGTACAGCATGCCCACAGGCAAGCAACAATTCTTCTGGGTAGCTAAGAAAAGCCACTGGAGTATCAGAGTAAGAAAGAAACAGCAGTAAGTGGTGGACAAAGAAAGCACAAAACACAATGCTACTATAAGTGGGAACCAGATATAGAATGCTTTCAAACTTTAAAAAAAATGTAACCACATAAAGTCCTTTCTAAGAAAATTGTGTATGAATCTCCATATATGATATAGTTGAGTGTTAAGAATATGTAAATGTATTTTAGAAAAAAGCACTTAAATGAAGTTAATTGGTGATTACAATAATGCTTCCCTAAAAAGCATCAACTGAAAAAAGGGGACATGGAGGACCATTCTAGGAGAACCTCAAAACACAGAAAATTCTCACAAAGTCACCACTGAAGAATTAACAAGGCAGAAAATCTCACAATCATCTCCAAAATGGAACAATATGCAATCCCTTCCCCCTTTTAAATCTTTCTTTTAAAAACTGGATTAAAAGTAAAAATTAAACCTCATGTTTCCTGTGTCCTCTATAATCTCCCCAGCTCCTCCCTAAATCTCTATCCCCAAAGCAGCAGTTCTCAGCCACAGCTGTTCCTCCACTGAGGGACTGTGTTCCTCTCCTCCTCAAGACAATACAAAGAACATCAGCAATGCTTCTGGTCACCTGTACTAACCTCATGACAAGGGATGATGTTTTGTGTTGCTAGGCACCTAATTATTACTACTGTAATCAATAATGAATTTCAACAGACCCCAGAAAAGAGAAACAATACAAAAAACAAATAATTAAAAAAAAAAAAAAAAACCCTCTGCCCATAGCTACTAACAAACTCCTGTCTTGAAAAACCAAAACCAAAACAAACAAAGAACAAAAACTCATGAGGATCCTACAATGCCATGTTTCAGTTTACATAATTATGATTATGTAAAATAAAATAAAAGATAGCCATCATTCTTGAGAAATCCAGTGCAAAGAAATGGTGTCTGTAGTTTTTGATCAAATCAATCAGAAATATTACATATAACATACATTCACAATTGGATGGTAAACAGTGAATCTGAGTTAAGGGTATAACAGAATTTTATTTACTATTTTCTATACATTTGAAGCAGTATAAAAATAGGACATTAAAAGCTATAGTACACATCTAGGTGTGTTAGCACCAGCCTGTAATTCTGGTGCTGGAGATGTGGAAGCAAGAGAATCAGGAGTTCAAAGCCAACCTCAGCTACACAACAAGTTTAGGTCAGTCTGAGCTACAGGAGAGCCCATTTGCAAAACACAAATACAAAAAACAAACAGCTGCTAGCATTTTCTGATGCTCATTTGCCGAGCTGCATGTCTTACCACACTTTATCCTTCTGCACTTGTATAACACCAGCACTATCTGCAGTGACACTGTATAGAAACAAAAGGCTTTGGAAACTCTCCTTAGGTCATATAGTTGACTGGTCACAAGACTGGATCTTAGGTCTGTTAATTCAGACTAAACAATACATCTGTTCCTCCTAACCTTTCCAGAGAAGCCACTATTTAGGTTCTAAGCATTGTTGTCATACACTAAAATATTAAAAATGCATTCTCTTTCCAGATTCCAAGGGAAGCAATGTTCACTGACAAAGCACCATAGGGATAAGGATGCCCCTGAAGACATCTGCATTAACATTAAAAACACAGAAATTATTTCGCTTTTAGAAAAACAAATCTTTTGTTTAAAAAAAATTATTTATCATTGTGAGTTTGTACGTGTGTGTTCAAGTGTGCACATAAGTGCATGTGATGTGACTGAAGGTACATCCATGTCAACTTTTTGGAGTTTGTTCTCTCCTCCCCCAGAGTTGGTTCTAGGACTTAGCTCAAGGTACCATGGTCCCTTGGTAGATACTTTTACTTGCTGAGGCATCTTCTTGTCCCAACCCTGCTATTTCTCACAATCCTGTAACAGGTGTTTTTTTCCGTTGTTCTTTGTTCATGTGTTCTGATTCAGCTGGGTAATCAAACATCAATGCATTATCCCTTCCTTCCAGTTTCTTGCTATAACTTGCCAAAGTCTTTTGGTTCAAAAGAGTAGTGGGTTAAAGGCAGGTTCACAGCCTTGACCCTCCTTAAGTAACAGTTAACAATACTCCTCCTAATAATAATAATAGTAATAGTTACTATGTATAAATAATACAAATTGAACATAAATAATAAATATGTACAAGACACTTTTCTAAGCATTTTACATTATACCTACTGATTCCTCACAAAATCCTGGGGCAAGATCTACATATATATTTTTTTTCCAAATAAAAAAGTGAAGCATTAAAACTGTCATTGCCCTGACTGAAAAACCAACTAAGTTGGGGCACTGGATGTGACTATAAGCAGGGGTCCCTGGTGCTAATAGGATACATTGCCTCTCATTGGAAACAAGTAAATAATAAAATGGTATATCATCTAGTAGTTTGAAACAACAGTTTAAACTTCTGCTTTAAAAGTAACTTAAGTACTAGATGGGAAGAGGTATATACTCTGTAGTGAAACTCTTAGGCAGGTTTGCTTTTGGACAGAATGAAGAAATCCAGTGGAACTGATTGAGTACCTGAATTCGCTGAGGTGAGGCTACCGCAGAGTCGGTGGAAATTATCTGGATACGCGGGGAGGGGCTGGTCATCCCTGGAGATTCCGGCCGAGAGGTCTGTGTACGTGGCACCTATGGATGAGAACACGGGGATTAGGAAATGGTTTACTAAGGAATACACTTTTCTTTCTTTTCTAAAGGCAGGGTTGGGTCTTCATGCTAGTCTTGAACTACTGACCCTCCTGCCTCTACCTCCCAAGTACCAGGATTAGAAGCATAAGCATGCCTCTTGCTCTTTCTGTGTGTGGCCTTGAGTGACAAACTTGAATTTTGAGGTGTCAACACTGGCCAACAAAGGAAATAATGAGATCTTGCCCTTGATGGTCCCAAGAAAACACCATCTTAAAATAGTTGCTTCTGGTGTTGAAAACACACGGAAAAACCAAATCTGTTCTGCCTTTCAAAAAGAAAAACCAATGCTATCAAAATAACTTTTTTTTTTTTTAAAAGAGATGCTCTTTGAATTTTTTTTCTACTGTTTCCAAAACCAGCTGTAAATTTCTCCTCTGTGGTGACTTTTAATAGAAAGTCTTTCACAAACACTGCATAGAAGACAAACAGAGCCAGCATGGCCCTGAAAATTATTGGTAGCAGCACTTACAGAAGGGTCTTGACAATCGTCTAGACCCAGGCATAATAGAGTTAGGCGAAGTTCACCACTAACACAAAGATACCTACCAAAGGTGAGGATCAACGTGCTGAGTGGTCACCTGGGTACCTGAAGTGAGAAGATAGTATTTTCCTGAATTAAAAGCATATCATGAACCAACACCAGACTAAGGTGGCATATCTCCCCACCCCTAAAAATATGTTTACCTAATTTATTTTATGAGGTCAGTATTGCTCAACACCAAAATTATAGTGTAATGAAAATTATCATACTAATATCAAAACTCAATGAAAGAAAGCAAACTGAATCCAGTAGTATGCCTAAATGCAGCTTACCCCAGGAACAAAAGGCTGGTTTAGTGCTCGAAAATCAGTATAGCAAAACCTGCAAGATCACTTTGATGGACAGAACAGACAGAACGCATTTGACAAAAATCTAACACTTTTTCATGATTTATAAGAAAATATAACAAGTTAGAAATGAGGATATCACTCAGTCTGATAAAGGAGAGAGGACAAAGTTATCCCCAAAGATGAGAAACAAGAACAGGTATAAATGTACTGGAACTGCTAGCAGGAAAACAAGGTAGAGAGAAGAAAACTAAAAAAGGAGGGAAAATGAGAGTAAAAGGGGAAGAAAGGAAGGAAAAAGGAGGAAGTACAATGTATCAATCATCTCCATATGCATGTTCTTATATTAAATCTTACAAAATCCACAAAAATTCCCTTACAACCAGTCATAGTTCCAAAGTTGAAGGTACAAGACAACTGTAATTCTATAAATTGGCAGCTTAAGTAGAAAGACATCTGTGTTCATAGACCAGAAAGCAATGTAGGTAGGCACTGCTTTCTAAACTGACAGATTCAATGTCTTCCCGGCTGAAATCGCAGTTGCTCTTTTCCTCTCCATAAATTGATATGCTGATCCTAAAGTTCATGTGAAACACAAGGAACCCAGAACAAAACAATTCTAAAACAGAAAATGAAGATGTAGGAGGACTAATACATTTGATTACTAAAACCTAAGTAATCTAAGCAATATGGGATCCGCCACTCTCAATTCTGGTATTTAGCTACAAATCTGAGATCAATTTATGGAAGAAATGTTTGCATTTCAGTGTAGCATCCAAGACAAGGGAGTTATGAGATCACTTAAGTGTCATTAACAGATGAATGGATAAAGAAAATACAGTTAGGAGTCAAGAGATGATGGCTCAGCAGTTAAAAGCACTAGCTGTTCTTCTGGAGGACCCAGCTTTGTTTCTCAGCACCCATATGGTAGCTCACAGCCAACCTTAACTCCAGTTCCAGAGAATCTGACATCATTTTCTGGCCTCCTTGGGCACTGTACATATATGATGCACATATATAACACAGACAAACATTCATACATATAAAATAAAAATATTTTAAATGGTATATAAAAAGGAAAATATGAGTACACAAACACAATGGAATATTTAACAATGTCAGTTGTGACAACATGGATGGAACACTATGCTAAATGAAACATGTCAAGCACAAATACCCACATTGTCCTCAAACAATTAAAAACACTGAAGAGTAGAATGATGGAAACAGGAAGACAGTGTCAAGGGTTACAAATGCTCATGCAATCTTGGGTGTTGTTTGAGATCTACTGCACAGTGTGGTGAACAAAGAAGAATGCTTTACATACCTCAAAAGTGCTAAGAATACATTTCAGATGTTCTCATAAAATATTTTAAGTGCTGAATGTTAAGTAGCTTGACTTAATATTCTACATTGTATTCCACAAATACAAAGTGTTACTATGTATTCCACAAATATATACAAGTAATAAATTGCTAATTTAAAAGCCCAAAAGTAAAACAGTATGATAGTAATTACTATAAAGATAAAACACACAGATCAATGGAACAGAACCGAGAATCTAGGAATTAAAAACAACCCCCCCAAAGAAAAAAAAAATCAGACTTATCCACATTAGTTTTGATACTGTGCAAGAAAACAAAATCTGTTAGTCATTAGGCAAGTACTGTTGGAAATAATCATTTGTAGTAGAGATAAGGGTAATCTGGCTTTTTAAATGACAGAATGCTTTCCAAGTATCTTGTTTCAACAAAGGCCCTCCAGGTCTGGTGAGATGGCTCAGTGGGTAAAGGTAGCTTCTGCCAAGCCTGATGACTTCAGTTCAATCCTAAGAACCCTCAGGGTAGGAGAGAAAACACTCCTGTGAATTATCTTTTGACTTCTCCACATGTGCCATGGCATGAACAAGCTCAGAATAAAAAATAAAAAATAGGCCCTTCAGAAAAAATTTCAAGGAAGCTGCCAAAATTTCTTCAAGGCATTTTGATCTACTTTAAAATATTTAGGTGACCCAGAGCAAAGTATGTTCATTGTCATACTAAAATTAAAACTCTGTGCAGGATGCATTCCTGTCTGTCATTTTTTGAACATGCAATGAAAGAAGCGTGATTTCACACTGAGTACTCTCAGGAAGTACGCTTACCTCCAGGAGTCAGTCTTCACAAATGAACATGCATGGACTTTCCTGATAAAAATCCTTACTCAGGGTACTCTCCTTACTTGCTACAGGTAGTTAGTTATATTCCCTCCAATCTCATCTTTTGGTTGTAGATATCTACTGGCCATGCTCACTCACCAAGGGTCCAAATTTGATTATAAATGGGGGAAGAATAATCTTTATAACAAATGGTTGACAGCTACTCATTGTAAATAAAACAACTCAGCCTGGTTGTGGTGGCTCATGACTTTAATCCCAGCACTCAGGAAATAAAAGCAGGTAGATCTCTATGAGTTTGAGGCCAGTCTGATTTACAAAGTAAGTTCCAGGATAGCCAGAACTATTACACAGAGAAACCCTGCCTCAAAAAGCCAAAAACATATAAATAAACTAATAAATTCAAAATGCATTAAAGATTGAAATACAAGAGTTAAAACATTAAAACTCTTGCAAGCAAACAGGTACAACTTTGTGACCTTGGATTTAAGTGATAGTTTTTAGATGTCACTGAGAGCATAAATAACAGCAAAAAAAAATCTGATAACTGCTCATTTTCAAAATTAAAAACTTGTGTGAATGTATTTGTAGTGGACAGAGAATAGTCTCAGGTGTTCCTTGAGTGCCATTGGCCTATGTTTAGGTTAAGTCTCTCACTGGCCTGGAGCTCACCAGTAGGCTAGATTGGCTGGCCTCTCCAAGGCTGAAATTACAAACTCATCACCACATCCAGCAAGCACTTTACTGAACTATCTTCCTAGCCTCCAATGAAAAGCTTCTATGTCCCAAAGACATTAATATCAGCAAGAAAAAATAATCCATATAAATTGGAGAAATTCTTGCAAACCACATATAAGGATCCACACATAGCATAAAAAGAACTGCTTTAACTTAAAATGTAGCCTAGTGGTATATCATGTAACTACCACATACTAGGTTACAGGGTTCACTTTCCAGGACTATATCACACAGCACATACATGGGACATGGGTGTCTTTGAACAAAATATGCAAATGGCCAGTCAACCAATAAGCACAGTGAAAGATCCCCTATATATCCTTAGTTACTAAAGAAATAAGTCAAAAAAATCAACAGTAAGATACCACTTCACATCTACTAAGGTGGCTACAACAACAATGAAAATATAGGCCAATAAAGGTACTGGTGACAATATGGAAAGACTGAAGCAGCTGCAGTATAACTCTGCAATTCTACAGCTAAGTATGGTTAAGAAAATATATTAACCATGGTGGGTATTTCATACAAGAGAATCCAGACAACAATGAATACTGCTTGGTAATAAAAATGATAAAGAGGCTATAGAGTTGACCCAGTGGTTAAGGGTACTGTTCCTCTTGCAATACCCAGGTTTGAGTCCTAGCATGCACATAACTGTTTGGAAATGTCTATAACTCCAGTTCCAGAAAATCTGAAGCCCTCTTATGACCTTAATGGCTACCAGGCACGTACACAGTACACATACATACTTGCGGGCAAAACATTCAAACATATAAAATAATAAATCTAGAAAGGAATGTGGTATTGACAAATGTTACAACAGATAAAACTAGTCACAGAAAACTAGTTTCATCCTGTTTATATAAAATGTACAGAATAAGCAAATCCATAAAGAAAGAAAATAGATCACTGGTTACTTTGGGCTGAGGGCATGTAGGGGGAGGAGGGCTTCAATTTGTGTGGTTGTTTGAAAGAAAATGGTCCCCAAAGGGAGTGGCATCATTAGGAGGAGGTGTGGCCTTGTTGGAGAAGGTGTGGTCTATGTTGGAGGAAGCACAGTATCACTGTGGAGGTGGGCTTTGGGGTCTGATACATGCTCAAGCCACACACAATGCCTCAGTTCACATCCTGTTGCCTATCAAGATGTGGAATTCTCAGCTTCAGCACCATGTCTGCCTGCATGCTTCCATGTTCAGCCATGATGATAATGGACTAAACAGCTGAATTGTGAACTACCACAATTAAATATTTTTCTTTATAAGAGTTGTCAACAGGTCAGGTTGTCTTTTTACAGCAATTAAAATCCTAACCAAGACAATTTGGGATGATGAAGTAAATTTTGAATTAGATAACAGGGAAAGTTATGCTACTAAACTTTAAATTGTAAAAGGGTTTCCCAAACTAAAAAACTATAAGGAAACAAATGACTAGGCATATTAAAATGTTTTCTTCATGGGGTTAGAGGGTTGGTTCTGCCTCAACAAGATGATGGGACAGACTTACACTTCCTAGGGAAGGTCTTACCCTTTCCAGGGAGCAGATGGGAAATGGGGTGTGAGGAACTGGGTCTGGAATGTAAAAATTAAATAAAATTTTAAAAAATATTTTCTTTCATAAGCATTAATTTTATCAACAACAAATGCAGTATGAAAGACAACAGACCACATTATAGTGGTATTTAGCTTAGGAACACTTCATACAGATCCCTTTATTCTCTTGACTAGACAAACAGGACAGAAGTGTTTTGCTGTGGGATGTGCTGAAGCTGCATCCCAAAGTCTCTCTTCTAGCATTGTTCATGCACATAGTCTGTCATCAAGGATAAAATGCTTCTAAATAATGAACATTTAGAACTTGAGTGCATC